TGTATAACATGGCCAAGTAAGTTATGTCACGTCGTAACTTTGATGATCGTTTTGAAGCTTTATTTGTTCGCTCATTACTGTAATTGTAAACGTTTTAGAAGTTGATGGTACGAATAATAAATTACAACAATACGTCAATTAATTACGTGATCGATTTTTTGAAGGAGAATGTTTTTGGAGTGAATAAAATTATGAGATTCGTGAACATAAATCTGGCTTAACGTTTTGAATGCGTTTCCTTCAACGTTTTACAAAACAATTAAATTGCAACAATAATGTATTTGTGTTTGTTTTTAGTCTGCAGCATTTGTATTTCGAGAATGTTTCAAACTCTTCTAAATTGTGAAACATAATGTGTTGATTCCAATAAAAAAAACATTTGCCCTGTGACTGAGCTCACTAATATTCATAATTGTAAATAAGTTCTGTTAATCAATGAAGGAAAGATATGTAAATGATATGCAAATTATTATGCAAATTAGCCCCGGCGCTATGCATTTTTTCTGGGGAGAACCCTGACTGTTATTCAGGTAAACATCACCTTTAACCCTCTTCCTACCGACGCCATAAAATACCATGTGAAAAATGAACACCTATTTTCCCAGCATACAATTCACACTAACTAGCCAAGACTTTTTGTGTAATTTCAACCAATTTCAATTGTCAAGTACTGCCTTTTAAGTAATCAAATTGACATTAAACTTGGTTTTCCATTTAGAATAGAATATTGTCTTCTCATTTCATGAAATTCAGACACATAAATTAAATTGTACGATTAGAGGAGGGTTACAAAAATATGCTAATTAAGATAAAAAGAGTAAGTCATGGTTTATCAAGTAACTATGCTACTTGAGAATTTGAATTTGGGGGGTCCAAAAAAATGTTACCCCCCAAAATATGGTTTTGTATGGCTTGGGGCGTTTCCAGTCTAAAATTAATTATATGGTATTTTATGCGTTCAGATTGTGCAGAACGCAAGGCATTTATCTTATGACATTATATGGCTACAGTAATAATTACAGATATGGTACTTTATGGTTTCAGAAGGAATAAGTACTCAGCCAGATAATATGGGTTTTTATGGCTTGGGAAAGGAAATCATTGGTCCATAAAATACCATGTTATGGTAAAATATGGTTTGGGGAATGCATGTTTATTTTATCATAACCTCTGGACCACAAAATATGGTACTTTATGGTTTCAGAAGGAATAAGTATTCTTCCAGACAATATGGGTTTT